CGCCGCTTGCGGAGGGTCCGGCCTCGCCTCGCCAATGGGGAGCGCCGAGACAAAGCGCGACGCTTTGCGCCGCAGAGCCAATGGCAGCGCGCGGAGGAAATCGTGACGTAGGGTGGCGTGTCCATGACGCAAGCGGTATGTCCGTGACGTAAGGAGTGCGCTGGCGGCGCGGCCACAGAGCGCGCAGGGACGGGACGCGGCAGCGCGTGGAGCAGAGGAGCTTTGTTCTACTGTGCCCTGCACACAACGGGCTGGCCCCCTCAGGCTCGTACAGTCCCCAGGCCATGGAAAGCCCACGGTGTTAATTAACCCTGAACACCAACGCAGCAGGGAGCGGCGTGACCCACAGCGCCACCCACAGCGCCTGGTGCTCAGTGCAGATCCCCCTGTGCCAAGGCCTGCCGGCACTCACCCCCCTTAATCTTCCTTTGCACCACACCAACAAGGTGATCGGAAACTGTGGCACAATTACACAGAGAAAATCAAACACAAAGCGACACAAGGCCATCGTCACACGGGCTTTATAGGGTAGGATGTAGTCTATGGACTGGACCTTTAGTAAGGCAGAATTCACTGGTTTTGCTTCCCACGTTTACATGAGAGAAACTCTACCTCTTTCCAAAACATACAAAAAAACACTGCTTCGAACACTGCTTCCTACAACTTAATTCCCAGCTGAAAGTTAAGACAGTCTTAAGCTCCATTTTTAAACAAGAAAACAAAATCAGTAAAGTGCTCCTGCATTGCAAAATATTCTCTCAACTGCAAAAATTAAGGTCCAATATGCTGCAATTGTTATTTTATTTTCCTCCTAACTGACTGAAGGTTCCACAACTTATGGTTTTCTTCCCTTTTTGCGCAGGGACTGACCTTCTCCCGAAAAGGCAATAAACCGGCTTCCAGATTCATCCTGAATAAAGAAAGGAGAGAAGGTTGTTATTTGTTTCTCTTTGCTCACTGCTTGTGTGATACAAGCTGAATAACCACCAGAAAGAGCACCCTGTCAGGGCTGCTACAGACTGCCAATGTTCCACATCCATATCTGCATAGCAACCACTCTTCCTTCAACAAAGTGTGAGTGTTTCAATGACCTTTCACCAGCTTAATGTAAGCAAGCACTGGCTAATCTCCCACCAGCAAGGACATCAGAGCTTGCTTTCATCTGTATGAAACTAATAGCAATTTTTAACAGCAGTTTTTGGTGAAAAGTCTGGCACAGAGAGAGCAACCACAAACTCAGATATGGTTCCACTGGCCTTCAGCAAGAAGCAATTATTGCCAAAGAAGGGGATTTTTTTTGTCAACTCCAGATTACCTCTCTGGGTTGCATGACGAGTAAAGTCATCACCAGCCACCAGCTGGTGAGGCCAGACTACATTAAACTCCATGAGGCAGCATAACTACAATAATGAACAAAATAATGCAGTGCAAATATGGGGACATACAACTGGGAGAGAACTTGTTCACTTTTTTCCCTGGCTGTATCTTCTCAATTGCTCTGCTCTCAGATATACAACATCATCAAATAAGAAAAGAGAGCTATTCCAAACAGGTCTGCCGGAATTGACAAGCAATGCAGACTGCTTTGCAGACAGATGTCTCATCTGTCACATATTCGGTGTAAGATTACCAAGATCAAACTTCATGTACCTCTTCAACTTTCTTCACTAACGGACGTGAGTTTCTAATGAATGTGATTCTACCAATCTTGAAGTCATAATTGGGTATTCCTCTGAAAAAGAAGCATTAAAACAGTACAGTGAAGAAATTTTATACAATGAAACATCCATCAGAAAACAACAAGACCCATTCTATGTCTTTCAATAACATGCAGGCACCCTCTGCAAAATTTTCACTACCAAATAATCCTAAAGCTAAATTACTGCATTATTTTCTGAAGATAGGCAAGCACGGCATGAAAGAAATAATCAGATACTGAAGTTGATGCGAAGCTTCGCTGTGGGCATGTTCCCATACTGTCTGCAGCTTTCGTGGGGCCAAGGACACCTTTTCTGGAAGGGTTCAAGTTTTATCGAGACAAATACAAATTGAAGCAAAAGCAACACAGGAACCGCATCCCCCCACCACTTCCAGAAGATCATTCTATTAAGTCTGAATCTAAAGGCTTGCTTCTAAGGGGGGAGAAAAAAAAAATCACATGGCCTGTCTCTGGCTGTCTGCCAACTCAAAGTATCTTACTGTAGGCCAAACTTCACTTTAGAAAATTGTCCGTTCTCTGCCTCCCTGAAAGCAGCCCATCACCCCCTGCTGCTTCTGTCTTTTTGCCTTCTACACAGCAAGAGCTAATGGAGTTTTGGCAGTGTTTATTAATTTGAAATCTGCACTTTAAGGAGTCAGAGAAGATCATAGTCTAGAAAATTAGACTATGTACTTTTATATGCAAATACCTGAGGGAATTAGCTATTTCTTCTTCCTGCAGTATAAAACAGTGCACTTACACCCTCATCCTTCACTTGCTGAAAACTGAATGATACAGACATACCTTCGAATGTCTCCTGGTTTAATTGGAGATGGACTAGGCTCAACACCTTTCTTCTTGCCATCCAATCTGTTCCCAGAACCAGAGAATGCCTACACATGTACAAGACATAATTATGTCTCAGAATTACAAATATGATGAGTTTTAAATTAACCATATCTTGTTAAAGCACACTGCACAGGAGTATTATATTCCCTAAAAAAAAAAGTAATTATTTGACTCAGTATGATTATTTTTAGTACATATAATAAGCTGATGATCCCTAGGTGTAGGAGACATTTCAGTCTCCTGTTTGAACACTGGCCTTTTGAGGTCATATGGTTACAGGCCACGAGAACCACAAAGCACCAACAAAGGTGACCTACTTTCTGAAAAGCAGGTTGTAGGAGTTCCAGCTGCGGGAATTCCTACATGAAAAACATATCTACCAGTTAACAAAGGACACCTCTAAGAGGAGGTACTGGTATTATGTAGTAGTATGGATTTCGCTTTCCCTCACGATTTACAACATTCAGAAAACAGCAGAAATACAGGACTTACACGAAATCCTAGGTCACTCACATATCCACTGTGGTCTGCTTCAACATCCTGTGAGAAAAAAAAGTTTCTTCAGCATGTGCATGTTGTGATATGAAAACATTTCCATATATTTCTGACCAAAAAAAAAAAAGCAGGAAGTTTATTTAACTGTTTGTTTTATAAGTGGATTGTTCTGAGCAGCCAACTCCTATAACCAAGGCAGATCACTGGTGAAAATGCATTTTGAAAAACAGAATTTTCACTTACTGTGGTCTCTTCATGTTGGGCATTTCTTTCTGGCTCTTTGTACCCCAAGGGAGCATCAAAATCCACCTATTTACACAGGAAAATAACTGTGATTGATATTTTTAAGTATAAACTTTATACGTCTGTTCCTCAGATCGCCACAAACCATTGTTCCATTTTAAACTAGAAAGAATTGAGGTTTAATAAACATTTTTATTCAAAAAAAAAAAAAAAAAAGACTAAGCTTCGCCCCAGAGATGAGTCTCTGCATATACTTGAAACGGATCGGGAGAACAGGAGCCCACATACAGTTGGAGACTGAAAGTCAAGACAAGGCCATAAAATGAGACTCTTCATACAAGACAGTATGTTGAATGTAGATTCATACTGGGTTCTAGACACTGCAGTCACCTGAAGATGTAGGATGTTAAGTGCAGCACAATACCACAGGTGTGGTTACAGAGGTACATTGGAACTCTTGTATGACTCACCTTCCCCACCTCATCTGATTTTACCTGTCCCACAGCATGAGAGGTGCTTGGTATTCAGTGCTATCAATGGACAACCTTCTCCTTTTAGGGGTTCTCAATAAAGCAGACTTTCCACAACAGCCTCAACTTACATTCATATCACATTCTATGATGGACACAGCCTTATCTGGTTTGGTTTCCATTACCCGAAGCTCATAGATCTGAAACAGTAATGAATAATTTAAGATTGTGCACAAGGGAGCACTATTCAAGTAACAGAAAAGCATTGCTAAACCCTTCCCTTCAGAAAACTCGAAGTAAATGGAAACATATGCTCCTTAGATTGGGGACTGGACACCACAGGGATATGAGGACAAGAGTAGTAACCCAGACATAAGATTGCTATATCCCAGAGCTATCTACTTCTTGCTTTCAACTTGTGTTTTTGAAAGCAAATTGTAGTTTCAGGATAATTTCTGTCCCACAATTTATAAGAACTTCAAAAGCATCATATTAAGTTTTCTCTAATGAGAAAGAACAGTCTAAACAGCAGTTCGGAGAAGGATTTAATTGACCCTGTTTTTCAATACAAAACTGATTGCGAAATCTACCACCCAGGATTTACATGGCAGCAATATTACACAACTCTGTGTTAATTATTTTTGCAGCAACATCTCAAAACTGTGCTTAGTCCTAATTGATCGAATGTGCACATGGGCTGCCAAAAACTTAATCCATTAATATTCATCTATAAAGCCTATTCACAAGATATAGTCAAAGTACTAAAGTGACTGCGATACACTGAAATGCAGGGACTTTTTTTTTTTTTTTTTTTTTTTTTTTTTTTACACATAGCAAAACTTCCTCAGATTGATGACATGCAAGTTAAACCTGCACAGGTGATGTTGCATACCGTACCTTTTCATTGTAGTTGATGGCAATAACGTCTCCAGTAGTTAGACAAGCAAAGTTTCTCAATGCGTTTTCTAATCTTTGGAGGACGTTAAGATGAAACACATTTGTACTGAATATTACATCAAAGCTTTGAAATTACTAACATACAGAACTCTGGTCTTTACCAGAGTGGTTTAAAAGTCATCAGAGCCTTGCACAGCCTTTCTGTAATTATTAAAGAGCATAACATCCTCTGTAGATATTTTAAGGGACACTCAAACTCACTGGACTTTAAGGCAAGCTGCAGGTTTTCTCACGCCAGGGTAGCCCTCCCTCCTTTTTGTCTTCAGAAAGAGCAGTGGTAGTTATCCGCTACTGCAAAGGTATGAGAAACACCTGAAAAGCTGACCCTGCTTCATCATCCCAGTTTTGGGGGAAAACCTTTGTTCCCTGCTCCATAGTTGATTAGGAAGGATACACAGCTTTGGGATTGGTGATATCAAGAAAATCTGGACTCTGTGGCTGAAATTTTGAGTAAGTAGCAACTTGAAGATTAACACTCTCCACTTGTACCAGACCTCCTTCTTCCAGCAGCAAGTTCTGCATCATCTGCAAAAATAAAGACAAAGATGCAAACCAGTATCAACACATCAGAATATATTCAAAGAAAAAATAATAATAATAAAACACTTATACGCATTGGGGTCACCCAGTTGGGGTCATTGGGGTCATCCTACCCAAAATCTATCAGTTTATTTCTGTCTTAATTTCAGGAAGACAACAGTCAGAGACATCTTAAAAAGCAGTCTGCTTTACATAATTAAGAGTCATACAGAGGGAAGCTTAAGCTGTAACTGAAAGCAATTACAGGAACATGACTAGTGAGGACATGTATTTCAGCACCCCACTTCATATTAAACTAGCAACTCATTAATCCTGTCCCTCTGGTTCTGACAGTTCAGCATGAGACAACTCACCCAGTGTGGAAGGTAACATATGCCCTCATCAGCCACAAATTCCAGCACTCCACAGTGCGTCATTCGGTCTGAATTTTTATTGGTCAGCTTAAACAACATTGGGTAGGTAATATTAAGTCGGCCTGGTGAGGAAGAATAAAGAAACTTTTATTTGTTATAAAGCCACTAACACATTTACAAAACTTCTAGAGATTGAACGTCACAAAGAGAATGGCATGGAGTATAGGAGAAGATCCCCCCACCAACCATTGCCCCAACTCCCCAAAAACACAAACCCAGCAGAGAAAGCAGCACCATTGCCCTCAGAGCTTTAAATGCCTTCCCTGCACTTCCCCTGCTAAGAGATAAGCAGGCAGAGTGCAAAACAGGAAAAAAATTGCCTTTTTTTTTTTTAGCAAAAAGCAAAAAAGAAAGAAAAATCTATTGTTATGCCCTGGGACTCTTATCAGGTAGCTACAAAAGAATTCTAACATCCTTTGCCTATTTTTAAAATAATCCTGAATTAATCTATTTACTAAAGAATTTGTCATAATGACAAAACTCAGAAGAAAAATAACCCACTTAAAGAGGAAACAATCACCATTTAAAACATTAATTCAATTCTTTCCCCCATTTCAAATGTTTTTTTTCCTTACAAAAGTGTCCAAGTAGGCTGAGATTAATGATTTACTAGATTAACTGTAATCATTACATTGTGTATGTTATTAACAGTTATTAAGTATTGATTCATGCATCCAGTAGCTTGACACTTCAGATGACTGTACTTAAAGAGAGGCAGAATATTTTAACTCAGAGAAACAAAACACTCTCCTAAATATATCCTCTGAACAATTTAGTCTTATGCAGTCTATTTAAGACAAATTTTAGGATATATTTTTTTTAAAAAAAGGATATTTGCATACGTATATGTTTACATTTCTACTATTTTTATTCCAAAATAACATTTGCACTTACTGAGTTGATCCAAAGCAGATGGTGGCATAATTACTGTAGAAATTAATAAGAGAGTTAAAGCAAGATTATGCAAAGTATGACTATACAGAGAGATTATTTTTTCTCTAAAGTCTAACTTGAGCTAATTTCTGAGCAAGAGATGCCAGTAGAATCAGCCATGACAAATACACCTCCTAGCACATGAATTTTAGGTTTTAATCAGAAATTAGATAAAACTAAATTTTACAATACCTAGTACTAAAAGAAATGTTTCGCCAAAGTACTTTTATCTGTTTGGGCTTACATGTCCCCTTCAACTGATGTCAAGTCAAAAGAACACAGCATTGGCCTGAGAGATGGGATTCTGAAAGGGAACATGGACAGTCTGTTTTCTTTCTTCAAGTCAACTTATAACAAGTTGAGGTTAAAAAAAATACAGTTCTTAATCAGAAATTTCTATAACTCATAACAGTGACAAGATTTTAAAAGGGCTTTCTTCTAATGATAAAGATCCAGGACTCAATCCTTACTGTACTTTTAATTAGACAGTAATGCAATATAAAAGAAAAATCCTTCTCTTCCTTCTTACAGCCTCTCAGTGCTGCTCTGGCTCAAACCCCACACCAACAGCATGTCTCCATGCTGTCCAACAATGTCTATGGTCTTGGCCAAAAGCAGTATTACTCGATATTATTCACAAATAACCTTCAACAGTTTATTAATCAAAATAAAACAAGCACATACTCTTCCCGCCTTTCTCCACATCTGACCTGTCATTAGGTCCGGCAAGCATGGATACCGAGAAGCAACGGTACTGAGTCGAGAAGCGGTTCTGGAAAACCCGCGGGATTGGGTGGTCAAACATATTAAACGAGAACTAAGCAAGGGAAAAAAGACAAGAGCAGACAAGAAGGTATTAACGTCACTTCTGCAGCGTGCTGAAATAAAGTTCTACAGCCCTCCCCGGGCTTTCTCAAGAAACTGCCTCCCCCCGGTTTCTTGAACGCCGTCCAGCTGAAAACACGTTCGCGA